TCACATCTTATATACATCTTAACATCCAACTTTTTAGGACAAAAGCACGTCACATGTATCTGTTATTTTGATATATCCAAATTTACTTTAGTCCAAGAGTCTGAGACTAAATTGAAAAATGTATAAATACATAAATAAAGTAAAAATGGGCATGTATGTCAGCTGTAATTATTTTGTATATCCAAATGTACCTCAAGTCTGAGACTATATTGAAAAACTGGGATTTTTCTATTTAAACATGGAGGTTAGACCTGAAAATAAAATAAATAAAAATTAAAGTTATGGCATAAAATGAAGAAAATATACATATTAACTTAATTTTTTATTATTATTATTATTGTTGTTGTTGTTGTTGTTTTCAATAAATAAAACTAACATAAAAAAATTCCCACTCATTCTTGATCACATACTACCCCTCAGAGTTGTAAACATAAGCCTTGCTTATGGCAAACATCCCTTGCACTTCCAGACAGAAAGTTGTCATTAGGCAGCATACCTTCAGCACGCTGTGGCCCAGCAAAATCAATGTCCAGCTGTCTGTGCGGATCGGCTCTTACCTTCCGTGTGACAGCTCGAGGAGTGCAGGGTGCTCGGAGGTCGGAAGAGGTAAGGCAGGTATCGGGAGAAACATTTCATCTTTCTTTCGTCTGGTTTCCTTTGGGAGGCTCCTTTCCCACCATCCGCGCCGCGATGACAGCCGATCCGGACCGGAGGAGGGATGCTGCTGCTGCTCCCTGGATGCGTGCGGAGTTACGGCAGCATTCTAAACACTTCTCACGCGTGTGTCAAGAAGACGTGCTGTGCATCCTCACAGTTCATCATGTTTTCCTCCCAGAAGGACGGAGGGTTGACCTGTTTTCCGGAGCTTCGGTTGGGAGGGGCGGTGATGAGGGCAGTTACACTGTTACATGGACATTTACCCTCTGACCAGGAGTGTACTGTGCACAGCCCGACTGATCAGAGAGCTTTATTTAGATACATGACATGAAATCACCCTCATGTTTATGAGAGCGACTGTAAACTTTTTGCTGTTAAATTTAAAGCTGTCCAATAGCTCCATCTAATGGTTGCCATGTATACCGCTATTGATATTAATACAATTTCTGTAGGCTATTAATATTCAATCAATTTAATATGTTGATCATGTTTATGAAATGAAAGCGAGGCTGTGAAGGATAGAAGTGCAGTGCTTTCAATGGATTGTACTGTTTTTTAACAACATACCGAGTGTTCAGCTGAACGTTTTTCAGAAAAAAAAAACTTTCAGTTGACAAAGAAACTCCATAAAACGTCTGTCTCCCACGGCCTCGTTTTCTTATTAAATTCAATATCCCAGGTAACAAATGCAGGTTATAAAAACGTTGTGGCAACGTTGTTTTGAAATGTTTCTAACACTTTGACATGTCCAGTTTCGTGTCGTGATTTTAACGTTGTTTAAAGGTTACAAAAACATTTCTTACAACGTTCTGAACATTTTCTCTTATTTTAGTATTATGATAATAGCCTATTCATCAAGTGCAAATAACATCATAAGGACGTCCTTACGAAAATGAACCATGGTTTTACTACACTAACCATAACCATTGTATTTGTAGTAAACTGGTTATACAAATGGTAATCAATATGCCAAAAAAAAACATGGTTACTACACTTTTACTACAACAAAACCATGGATAATTTCCGTAAGGGTCCCGAGAGATGTTGTTCTAAAAACATTTTCTCTCAACGTTATGACAATGTAGGCTATATCAAATATTAATAAAGTTATATGAATGTCCTGACATTTATATAACTTTTAAAAAACATTAGTGAAAGTTACGAAAATGTTCCCTGTTAGCTGGGATGGCGTCTAAACTGACTAAGGTTTTATAGATGGCATGTAAACATAAAACACCATCAGAGTGAAACTAATATTACAGCAAAAACATTAACTAAACAATCTGAAAATGTAAATAACTGAGAACAAAATAGGAATAAAAATAGGACTATAGAAAATATAATTATTTTGTTTAATATGCACAGAGGTATCGCACTTAGACGCAGAGACCATCTGCTTAATCAACCTAATCTAAAAGTATAAGTATGTAATTCTCTTGTTACCACAACTGTCTCATACCACCTTAAACAGAAACATGTGTCATAATTCTGATACTGAACAAACACTTAGCTAATTGTTTATTTATTTACTTAGGCAAATGCCACCTGGACCCCTCAGTACAAATGTGAAGACTCATGAATGATATTTGGTGACGGAAATCACACACTGAGTAGTCAGCGAGAGTGGCCAGTGCCTCTGAGAACAGGTGCCATCTGTGCTGGTCCCCCGGGTATCAGCATATTAAAATATCAAAGAGTTCACTCTCACCAACCATCCCTCTCTTTCTCGCTCTCCTCCTACTCCCTGACACACGCTGCTTGACTCACTGTTGGGAACTCATGCTGTGTCTTTTTTTAAGAAAGCACTAAAACCTCAATGAATATTTATGAGCCACAAGAGCTTCTAAATATAGATTGACAGTCCTGGATATATTGAATCCGAAAAGCTGAAGTAGTGGTCGCCTACAGATTTGTGTTGGTATATAGTATATATATATTCTCTCTCTCTACTTTAGTGGGTAGAAAACAAATAAACTTTTTAACAAAAGTAAATGTTTTAATAATTTGCTTCAGCTTTAGTAATAACAATATAAAAGCCATATATAATTTTAGGATTTTTTTAAATATTATAATATCACTTTAGAATAGCACACCTAATTGTTTCCCCTCTTTTTTATTTTTTTATTTTTTATAATTGTTGTTTTTGTAAATACAGGCCTATTCCTATATTGAATATCACATTAAACGTAGATAACTGAGAGTACGTTATGAGATTAAAATATCCCACTGAGAGCTGTTGAAAATAATCACTGAGAGTGCATCATTGTCCAGATGTCTGTCAGCTCCTACCTTCAGCTGCCGTCACCTTCGATGGACCCTTCACCTGCACCAAACACCAGGTTCGTTCACCTGGACCGCGTCCTTCTCGCAAGTAATCAAACAACAACAACAGTCAGACTTAAAGTCGTGTTTTTCATTTTAAGATTATGCTATGTCATTTTATCAGCCAAACACATACCAAGCATGATGCGTCCTTCTCCTGTATTTTTCTCGATTACTGTTCCTCGCTGATGACTAATAGGATTGAGGTGATGCAGGACTCGCCTGCTCGAGTCCTGCTGATGGCGCACATGAGACCAGGAGCTGAAATGTCTTATAATTGTAATAGTAATATAGATTGACAGTCCTGGATATATTGAATCCGAAAAGCTGAAGTAGTGGTCGCCTACAGATTTGTGTTGGTATATAGTACAGAGCTATAAAAAGGACTTGCCATGTACAACAGTCCAGCTGCAATATGCAATTCTGTGCAATGTTTCAGTGAATAGGTAAATGGATTATTCTGTTTGCCGCTCAATTAACTAACAGTCTTCACTAATTCACAGACATTCTTCAAATTATGAGCGTAGCTGTTTGATTGATTAGGCCTAATTTCTGAGTTTTATATTCTGGCTCAAAACGATATTTCATACTCAGAATGGCAATATCTTGGCAAGTAGACTGCTTCACTAGCAGTGTTGTCACGGCAGTTTGTCACGTGTAATTGTGACAAATTACAATTATAGAAACACAACAGGTTGTTTGTCAAAAGAGAGGGGAAAATGTTAAAGTTAACTGTTTTCTCCTATACATTTCTCTGCAAAAAGTGGAAAAATTATATTGAGTGATTATATATAAAGAGCATATAGTATATATACTGTATATAAATTGTATTGTGACAGAATCTGGGGGGCTGCATAAACTAATGTTAAAGTTAATAACAGTAAGGAATAAAAACTAAATCTACATGAAACAGCTGCCGTCACCTTCGATGGACCCTTCACCTGCACCAAACACCAGGTTCGTTCACCTGGACCGCGTCCTTCTCGCAAGTAATCAAACAACAACAACAGTCAGACTTAAAGTCGTGTTTTTCATTTTAAGATTATGCTATGTCATTTTATCAGCCAAACACATACCAAGCATGATGCGTCCTTCTCCTGTATTTTTCTCGATTACTGTTCCTCGCTGATGACTAATAGGATTGAGGTGATGCAGGACTCGCCTGCTCGAGTCCTGCTGATGGCGCACATGAGACCAGGAGCTGAAATGTCTTATAATTGTAATAGTGTGTGACATTGTTTGTAAGAACATCACGAGTAGTAGTTTTAAGACATGAAAAACATATTTTTAATTACATTTATAATAAATTATAAAATACTAGATGTAGCCTACTTTCCTCATTATAATGTCAAGAACTTGCAATCATCTGAATCATGAAATCATTGTATAAATGTTTTAAAAATGGCAAAGTGTACATTGTGTCGCTCATGTGTGAACGTTGTTTTCAGTTAAGAGCTGGCACGATAATATTTACTTTAAAATTCCAGTAAATTTGTTTATTTATTTCTGTTTCGTATATTGTATTTACGGTAAAGACACGATGATTTTGTCAGTTCTCGATTTGCAAATATGTACCTGGAAATAACTGTATATTTGGGGGAAATATGAGAAAAATTGTGAATATAATATTTTTTAACAAAATACTTTAAAGTTGTGTCCTCGGGTTATGTTTCAACCCAGTTATCATCCCCACATTAAAATGAAAGAAAACCATTAAAAACATAATTATGAAATCATAAAAGTGTCTCCTCTTTGTATCACTATATGGTATATTTTACCTGAAACAACATACAGAACTACCACATTTTGCTATAAGTTTGATTGCATCATATAATAAAGATGCATAAAATAATTTATAATGATACAAATAATTTCTGTTTAATTTTTTTAAAATTTACTTTGAGGTCTCTCAATCTTCAATCAGAACATAGGGGTTAATAATAATATAATAATATTCATAATGATAATATAATAATATTCATATTTGCATTTCAAAGTTGAAACTAACAATAAACTCCATGTTACACCCACCTGTAGGACCAGGGAGAAAGGCTGCGACTGTTGGACATCCAAAGTTTGCGATCCACCACACATTTGTTTATGGATAAGTTGGGATTGTTTCGGACCTGAGACACCATGTCCTCAATACTCTTGTCAAAGTCAATTTCAACAGCACCGGGCATCACACCTGATTCTGGACCTGTCATCATCGGATCCGGGGAGATTCTGACAGACGAGGCGTTCCGGCGAGGATGCGACTCCAGTTTCCGTCTCCGAGACTTTCCTTCTCTACTGGTGTACTTTGTGTCAGTGGGCACAAACAGGTTCCCCACCATCAGGACCATGAACACCTGCAATATGAAGTACCGAGGCTTTAATTTAATTCTTATAATGCTTTACCAAGTAAACAAATATTTAACTTTTCTGAGACTCACCTTATTCCATATATTTTTCCACATTGTTTTCAGTCAGAGTGCAATAAGTTGTCACATTTGTCTCCTCGCTGTGTATGTATTGAATGGAAGGAGCGTGGATTACTCAGGATTACTCATACTGAAGTGTCACGCCTCACACTGACACAGTAGCCTACAGGGACACACCTGAAACAAACAGTTCAAGGTGGGGCCACATCAAGATATATAGCTATATACAAGAATAATCCTATTCTGTGTAACCCTCTCAAACACATTAGATAGATAGATGGAAAGACAGAGAGATAGATACACAGAGAGATAGACGGTTAGATAGATAGCTAGACAGACAGACAGATAGATAGACAGACAGACAGACAGACAGACAGATAGATAGATAGACAGACATATATAGATAGATAGACAGACAGACATATATAGATAGACAGATATAGATAGATAGACAGACAGACAGATTAGATAGATAGATATATAGATAGACATATATGGATAGACAGATAGATATAGATAGATAGATAGATAGAATGGTAGTAAGTTAACCATTAGTTAAAAGAGAGTGTATTATTACAAATTTACAGGTGCATGAGAGGTTTTCAATAGAATTTTGTCCAATTTCACAGAGAACTAACCTTTGTACCTTTGTTGTTTTCATGTGTGTCTATTCAATCGCATGCACTCAAAAGACCCTTTTTATTCTTAAGTCCTAAAGCCCAGAGAGAACAAACGGCCAGACAGAGCTTTATGCGCCTTAGACCCATTCTGTGAACCAAACTACAGGCTAAAGAACACTGTCTACAGCTACAGATTTGGTCAATCCATGTTTTCCCCTGATCTGGCTCATTCAATGCTATATTCATTTTCACAATGGACGGCATTGAGCTGTGTAAAAGAACACCTGCTCGTATGACATGTCAGGGCAGTGTAGTAGACCTGCAGTTTCAAAGAGAACAGTTGTGGCAAACTGTGTTTTGCTATTTTTGAAGGTTGGTTGGATAAAAGCCAAAAAACAGACACACATAATATTGTGTTGAATAAAAACTGTTTTCAAATTCATTGACAATTATATCATTCTAATAAAATGGCTAGTGACTCAGATTTGCCTTCTTTCTTCTTCTGTAACCTTTTGACAAAGGAAGTCCCTATTTTTCTTTTAGTTAAAGCACCTGTGAAACTTCACAAGAAATTATAATGTTTGTGAGTGAATGGAAGTCAGCAAGACTATTACTTTGTTAAATGGATAGTCCAGCGAAAAATTATAATTATTATTATATATATTATTATTTACTCTCTCATGTGGTTTCAAACTTATATAACTTTCTTTTTCTCTGGAACGTAAAAGAAGATATTTTGAAGAATGTTTTTTAACTTATGGTTAAAAAAATACAATGGAAGTCAATGGGAACCGAAACTGTTTGGGAACCAGCAGCATTCTTCAATATATCTTCTTTTGTGTTTCACAGAAGAAAGAAATGCATACATGTTTGAAATGACATGAGGGTGAGTAAATTATGTCAGGAGGCAAATATTAATGTTTATTTTGCAATATTATTGGTGTGCATGGCAATTCATGACATGTTTTATGTTTTTGCTTGCTGAATTAATAAGATTGTAAGTGCTGGAAAGTCGAGTTCAAGCTGTGTTATGGAACATGGTAGCTGGTTTCTAGCTGGTAGTCCGTCGTCTGGCTGGTTTTTGCATGGTGGTCCACTAGCTAACCACCTTGGACCACATAATATCCAGCTTTGACCAGCGATAAACCAGCTACCACCTTCCAAAACACAGCTACCAGCTTAAACTGGACTTCTGAGCAGCTGGGCAATCGCACTATAATGAGGACATGAGCTGAGCACTGAGAATTTATCACTTTTGCTATTGCTATATTTGCAAACAACCTGCAAAATAATTAAAGAAAGGACCAGTAACCGACTGGTAATTCTCCCAATTTTAAATGTATCAATTTCACATGTTTTTATTTTATTTTATTATTATTTTTAAATTTTGAAGATAAGATTTTTTTAAGTACACTTAATAGTAAAAACCTGGAGTAAGAGATCAACGCACCCACTTAATTATTTATTCATATTTTATACCTTTATATCTGACGTTATTTCCTTCGTGATCCTGGAATAAAACTGACAGCTACTTTAAAATCCCATTCTATCCTCTATCCATGATCTCGCGAGATTTGCGCTACAACTAATTCTGGCGGAAGTAGTTCTAAAGTCTCTTTTCCGGCGGCCATAGAAACAAGTCGGCAGGGTAAGCCAAGATTGCTAAAGCATTTCTTAAGCATCCTTTGCCATCTGCGTTGATGTTATGTCCTCAAAGTTTAAAACACACATTAGCGCTACATAATATCACTACTTTCTATTTAGATGTGTTATTTTACACTTAACTGGGGGATATTTCGGCTGGTTAAGTCGTCAGTGTTCAGCTAGTGGCTGCTATAGGAGCTGTGCTCTCCCGTGTGGAGAACTAAATTTGCCCAAAACGCAAGGACATGCTCTCCGTGTGTGCGTGCTATATGTTGGTTTAATCGTGTTGCGTCTTGACGCTCTTGAAGCACAAAATAAATATGAAAATGTAAGGTGTGTGCTTAAATTGTCATGTCAAGTTGTAATAACTATAGCAATACCACGAGATGTTGAACATGCTTTTCAAATACACTTGTGTTGTCAATACATAAATTCCAAGCTTTTAGTGTATTATTGAACGCTCTTGAAGCACAAAATAAATATGAAAATGTAAGATGTGTGTGCTTAAATTGTCATGTCAAGTTGTAATAACTATAGCAATACCACGAGATGTTGAACATGCTTTTCAAATACACTTGTGTTGTCAATACATAAATTCCAAGCTTTTAGTGTATTATTGGTTATGTAATATATATTATTTTATGTAATACCACTGCTGATTTGTCCATTGAGAGATGTGCCAGTGTATCTGACATACCCAAGTGAGTAAAGTTTGAGAAGTTAGGTTAATTTTTCTACAAGCCCAGTTTTTCTTATCTGTGTTGAATGTGGTTTTATTGCAACCCAACTACATAAGTTTACATTTATTTATTTCGCAGATGTGTGTGTGCGCGTGTGTTTTTAAATGTTCAAATTTTATTTTAATTGTCCTTTTCATTAGCAGCCATCATGAAGCTCAATAAATTTGTGACCTCCTCCCGGCGCAAAAACCGCAAGAGGCACTTCAATGCCCCTTCACACATCCGCAGGAAGAAGTGGGATTTCAGAGTGTTTAGTATCATCGGGATACAATTTTAGTTTTTATAATTTTTTAAAGGTGACATGAAAATCTTACTTTTCCAGGTTTTAAGTGCTATAATCAGGTCCCCGGTGCATCGCCATCATGAAGCTCAATAAATTTGTGACCTCCTCCCGGCGCAAAAACCGCAAGAGGCACTTCAATGCCCCTTCACACATCCGCAGGAAGATCATGTCCTCCCCTCTGTCCAAAGAGCTCCGCCAGAAGTACAACGTGCGATCCGTGCCCATCCGTAAGGACGATGAGGTCCAGGTGAGGACATTACCAGTTTTTCCTGCATGGTCAATGTTAGAGTCTGATGTATTGAAATGTCATTTAATATAATACTGGTCACCTTACTCGGCATAAAATTGCTTGCTTTTTTCTCTCTCATCACCAGGTTGTCCGGGGACACTACAAAGGCCAGCAGATCGGCAAAGTTGTCCAGGTCTACAGGAAGAAGTATGTCATTTACATCGAGCGTGTTCAGCGTGAGAAGGCCAACGGCACCACAGTCCATGTTGGCATCCACCCCAGCAAGGTATGTTTTATTTCCAGATGTTTTTTTGCATGCAAAACATGATATCAGTACATGAGTGTTACTGAAAAAATAACTAGTGGTTGTCCTATGTCTAGAGAGCAAGATGGCCAATCTATTCTAAATGCATTTTAATAGGTTTTAGTGGATATGCTGATTAATTGATTTTGTATGGTACACTTTCTGAGGGCAATATGAAATACATTAAATGTGCATAATTACTTTAATAAACATAATATTGTCTGTAGAGTTTGGAACTTAGTGCATCACGTTATAGAAATTTTGGCAAAGTTACACTGACAAAAAAGTTCCATCGTCAAAAGATTTTATCCAAAGCAACTTACATTGCATTTATGATACACATTTGACCAATTCTTGTATTCCCTTGGAATTGCACTCTTGATCTTTACATTGGTAGCACTAAAGCTTCAGGTGAATCCAATTTTAAGGTAGACCATGAAGTCTGAAACTAGTTTTATTGCATCAAAACAAACTCTGTGCTACTGAATTGTCATGCCAGTCTTGGACTGACTACACATTTCTGTGTGATATTAAAGGGTTAGCTCACCCAAAAATGAAAATTAGGCTGCGTTTTACTCACCCACGATGCATCCTAGGTGTATATGACTTTCTTCTTTCAGACGAATCCAGTCGGAGTTATATTAAAAATTGTCTTGACAATTTTTAATATAACTGACTGGATTCATCTGAAAGAAGAAAGTCATATACACCTAGGATGCATCAGGGGTGAGTAAAACGCAGCCTACTTTTCATTTTGGGTGAACTGACCCTTTAATGGTAACCGTCATAACACTGTTCCTTCTTTTCCACATCACTGATAGATGCCTTTTAACAAGTGCTCTATTTGACACTTAAATGTCCAAATATGCATATTTACAGTTATCATAGATTATTTTATTTGGTGAGACATAGTGTCTGATTGTTTCTTCATGAGTTGCCAATGTCACCAATCTACGAATGCATAAGCTTTACAGGATCCCGTTTCAGTTGAATGTAATAGAGCTAGTTAAAGGCTCATCAACCAGCTTTGTATTGTTAGTGTCAGTAGTATATGTAAATGAACAGTGTGTGCTCTTTCATCATTGCACCCAGATATCCCTGTGTATTTGTCAGCAAAAGTTTGCCAGATGACACATTTATGTCAGGACTTTTTTGAAAGCGACATATTGAACATTCGCGTTTGTACCCCTGTCAAAATCAAAAGTGCTTAATGGCAAAAGAGAGTGCCACAGACCTTTATCTGTTTTCTCTGGTCATGTAGCACAGAATTAAAAAATAATAAAATTGGCTTTCTACTGCAGACAGCCGAGTTTCATTAAAAGCCCATCTTACCAGCTGTAAATGACCCTCTGCACACAATCCATGATTAC